AAGTTTTTGCCATATCGCCCACCTCTATGCTAAACACTTATCTGACAGTAATAATTACAGAGGGAATGGCCTCCTATAATTGGCTGAACTAGAAATTCCATTACTAATAGTACTTCTTTTTGAATAGTGACAGCTGTGTTATTGTTATTGAATGTAGTACATGTGGTATAATGCAGAAATTAATATACTCGCTGTGACTTTTCACTCGTGGCTGTCTGTGGACGTTCACCCAGACCATGAATTGACCAGTCTAATCTCTTACAAGGTGCGATACAGAACCACCGCCACCACCGCCGGCAGAACTAATCCCACTTGAGTAGTGCTCAAATCTGCTATCAGCCTGATGTAGGAGTGTGATAATCACTAACATGCTTATCCTTCTCTTCAGTCTCACCAGCAACTTAGCACTCGCCTTCATCAGCGTTTCCAGACATGGCTGGACACATGGAGGAAGGCCCACGTGACCAGCGACATGTCCACTGAAAACCACAGGTGGCTGATGGGAGACTGCCAGGAGGGGCTGCGGCCCTGTAAGACCACCTGTGAGCCCAGTGTCCTCCACTTTCAGCCCATCAACAGATACAGGGTTCTGTACAGCACCACTGCATAACACTGCACTCTCTGGGGTGGTATTCCTCTTCTGGGTGGGGGGGTGATGTTTCTTTTTAACTTTTTAAGAAGAAAAAAAAACATAGCTGACTGAAGCAGCACTGAAATTTTATGCTGGTTGCCATGGAGCTCTTTCCAGATTTCTTGCTCTTATCCACTTTTTTTTTTTTAATCTTAATAAACTTTTAGATGGGAACTTCTTTCCTTGAACTTGTTGCCAAGTTGGCATGCCTTCCTGATCTTTCAATCATGATGGAGCAAAGACTCCAGTGTTTTATTATTTTATTATTTTAATTTCCTAATTGCACAAAGTCATTTCGTGTAACTATCCAGACGATAATCAGAGTGTGGAACTAAAAAATGTACGGTCACAGGTCAATGTGTAAATGTTGTTTTTCAATTTTTTTTTTTGTAGTTTATTAGCAATATGCATTTTTGTTGCTGTTGTCGTTATTGTTGTTGTCGTTGTTATTGTTGTTTGATTCAGTGTTAACCACATTCTTACAAACACTATCAATAATGGCAGCCAGATTGTCCTCCTTGTAGAATGAATAGGAGACTGTAAGCACTGATGTTAACTTGGTCAGATAGTGGGGGAAGAGTCTTAGTATCAGATCATGCAGCTATGCCTGGCCTGATGATGTGAATTTGTACAGGCTCTGTATGTCAGTATGAGAGTTCTGTGCTGTTAAATATTTATAAAATCCCTGAGAAAGGCAATTATGCATTAATGGTTATCTACAATACCAGCTTCAACATGGAGACGAAAGGACAAGAGCAGCCGCAGAATCTCAGATGATGTAAATAATTTGTATATATTCCAGACTGTTTATATTCTGAAAACATTAAAATGTAGTTCACCTTTTGGACTTTTATCTTAGCAGAGGTGACTAATGCTGGTCTGTATATTGTAACCGATCACCTTTTTTACCAAAGGGAGTTATTGCTATAATTTTTTTTTTTTTTTTGGGATCCTATCATTATTTTTGTGTTTGTGACTTGTCTGGGACTTTAAAGAATGTTCTGTATGTAGAATGCCTTTTCATGACACATTTGAAGAATTTTTTACCCAACCTTATATTGAAAATTTGTGACACTGCCCGTGCTCCTATATTACTGAGTAGAGCTTAGAAACAATTCACTGTTATTGTCCTGTTTTGCCTCCCAACTAGTGCTAATATGAAAAAAAGTTGTGACATTTAATTTGGGGCACTTTTGTTTTTGTGCACCAAGTGTTGATAAACTGCTGAAAAAGTATGTAAAAGCATATTCACAAAAAGACAATGACAGCATGTTTCTATGTTCTCATGTACAGTCTTTTGTATTATTCATCATTGTTTTAAAGATTGAAATAAAACAAAGTTGTAGTAGATTAATCTGATCTCTTGTACTTCTTTGAATTCACAGTAAACACTAAAGCCCCACAAGCCCCCCCCCCACCAGATTATAAAATCTATCCCATAAGATTTTCTCTTCTCGTAACAGAGGCTTCTGATTCCATGTGCCCAAATATGTGAGCAATTTATTAAATGTAGTGATGTACAAATGACAGCAGGGGGAGCATTTGAGCAGTTTCATTAGCCGTAATGTAATGTGCTGCTCATGGTTTGCAGTCTAACTTGTGTTTTGCAATGTAACTTGTGTAGTGTTTTGTTGTAATGTTGCATTATTTCTTGTATGTTAGGGAATACAACATATTTAATTATTCGCTTGATTATATTTTTGTCTTACAAGCCAGTGTGATTCTTATGCCTAACTGCATTTTTTTTCCCTCTAAAGATGATGTAACTTGTAGGCAAACAGGCCCTTGTTTGTCTGCACACCTCACTTTGGATTTTTTGTAACAAGCACAGAGTGCCCAGTTTATTGGGTAAACCGAACTTAGTATAGTTATAGTATTATAGTTATTGGTAGGACTATCTAAAGAAAGCATTGGTATATGCAGTACTATGTAAATTTAATTTACAGCCATAATGTAATTAATTTTTCAGGAGGTATTTCTGAGATTAGATACAGTAATACACTTGCAGTAGGATTTTTTTTCAGATCTGAAATGTACATTTTTAGCTTTCATGCTTTTCTGGAGACATGCTTACAGATTCTGAAAGAAATCTGCGGAGGTATTTTTCCACACCTCTGGGGTGGTCAGTCCTTTGTTCTGAGAAGACCAGCAGCTTATTTGTTTGATTTGCAAGTTTTCTTCCATTTCAGTTTTCTCAGTGAGGCTTCTGAACTGCTACATATGCTTTCAGACCCATAGCATGGTTTTCTCAGAGTGGAGGAATAGAGCTTGTAAAGCTTGTTTTTCTCCAGTCTTTCAAAGATAAAAGCTTGAAGTGCTGTTTATCTGATGGGAACAGTTTTGGTGGCCTACCTGGTCTTGCATGGTTGTTGTTCTCTGTGTCTTAAAATCATTTTTTAAACTCCTTGATAACTCTTTTTTTTGTATTTTCCTTTGATGTCTCTATTTAAATAGATTATCTTCTGTCAAATTGCCTCTGAAATATTTAGTTAATGACTGAAAATTAAACAAATGAAGGATGGTCTCTGACATTTACACGTGTATTCTCACCTTTTATTTATTTATATATATATATATATATATATATATATATATATATATATACACACATGCACATAGCCTTCCGCCCAATGACAGCTGGGAAAGGCTCCAGCACCCCACTGCGACCCAGAAGGATAAGCGGTTTAGATGATGTATGTATGTATGTATGTATACACACACACACATATATATATATATATATATATATATATATATATATATATATATATATATATATATATATACACACACAAAGATGTGTTCATCTGATATCTAGAGGCCTTTTTAAAGTAAACGCTGGTTATAAAAAAATATAAAGTAACTATAGTGACATTTAAGTCATGGAGAGAAAAGAGGCAGCACTGGTTGCTAATTCACTGAAAGTTCTGAGACCCAGACAGACTTCCTGTCTCAGTAGTGGGTGATGTAACTGGTCATTACACAGCCAGAAGCCCACAGATCTCAGCTCAGTCCATTGTTGCCCACTCTCTCTCACGGAACAGCTGAAAGAGGCGCGTTTGGGCCCTCAGTGGGCCGGCCCCAGCACTGAAAAATGGATGCTGTCAGGGAGAGGAGTGGCTTTCTCACAAATGAAGTGTGGAAACTTCAGGCCTTTCTGCTTGGTTACCCTGAGCAACACATTAGCTGCACATTAGATTCTTTACATTTTATCATCTGGTAAAAAAAAACCGTAGAGCTTTAGAGTTGTTCTCGTGTTCTTGATCATTTCAATGCTGTACTAAGTGTTGTTTTGGCCCTCCTTTGATTTTCTGTAATGAGAGCTGGATGACTTCATAAAGCGAGATTCCACAGTGATATAGCTGCTGCTCTCAGAGGTAAAAACAGGGAGGGAAAAGAAATATTTTGAGATGAAATCTTCATGTTCTTCCTCCAAACAGATGTTTTAAGGTTTGGTAGCATTTGAACGTTTGTGCTAGAACCAGTTTCAGATGGGACCAGGCCCAGATTTAACTTACACCCTCTATGTGTGATGTAATTGTAACCATGGCAACAAAACGAGAGAGAGAGAGAGAGAGAGAGAGAGAGAGGGAGAGATCAGCTGTTTCACTGTTTGTTCACTGATTTCCTGCTCTGCTAATGATGATCAGTTTCAGGTTTGATCTCAGTTGTAAACCTTTTCTAATTTTAAAGGGCCCATTTCTTTTTAAAGTGCACTGTACTCATTTTTTTTCTAATAAAAGAGTTTGATGTGGTATGTAACCCTGTTCAAGTTTCAAAAACATTAAGTTCACTCCCCAGGCCATATAAGGAAACTAAGCCTGCTTTGAAGTCATAGTTTTTGTGATGTCATAAAACTAACAAATTTATAAATCCACCTATTCAGCCTATGGCAGTTTAGTTTAAGGCACAGGGACAAAAACGCTGGTTTAATTGTAAGGGCTAAAGAGAAGTTGGAAAATATTTCTGGTACATAAAACCACACAAATGTTACAAGTGATCATATGGGGGGGATAAAATTCAACAAAAATGTAGGATATGGGCCCTTTAACTATTCACAATCTAGTTTCTCAAAAGCTACTCTGGGGAAAAATTTATTGTTAAGAAATATACACTATTATAGAGTCATTATGGAGTTTCCAGAATTTTTATCCAGCTCAAAATGGCCACACTAAGCTAAATTGTGTTGTAATTTTACTTGGTGCCTTTCTATAAAAAGGCTATAATAATTTAAATGACAACTTGCTGTCACAGTAATATCACACTGTGATTATTCCATATGATTATTGCCCTGTAATTTATGTGTATACACTAAAGGGTGCTAATGATAGATAATCACTGCTGTGAAAGAAATGTAGTCCCACATTAGTAAGATATCTCTATGGAGACTTTAATTACTGATGATAAGTACAAAGCAATTAAACATGAAATGAGAAATATGATGATATGTGACAGGTTTTAATGTAAAGACAGTTTCCCACGTAGTATTCTATTTTTTAAGCTTTCCTTGACTTGACTTCTACCTTGTGCAATTGTCTATGACCTATACCAAATACTGCTGCTCTACATGATGAAGACACGGCCCTCTATCTGTAACACAATCTTCCCGCAGGTAACTACAAATTGTTATGAAAAGCCCTGTAATGTAAAAAGTGTAAATGAAGTGTCACTGCTGAATAAGCGTAAGCGTTGGCCTATTTTTCCATCTGTTCTTCATGGAGCTCATTCTCGTACATAAATCCTCGTGCACACCACGTCATCGGCTCCGAAAACCTAAAGAATGAAAACAGAGAGAGAAATGTTTATTTAATGCTATGGAAAGATGATCTTTTCCTATTTGATCCTTCTTGGAGATACATGAGAGAATAGTACGTTCCTACTAGGGGTGTATCAATATCTAAATTTCACAATAAAATGTATATTCAATACAATGCACAATAAAATTTAACTGCCTCTCCACTGTTTTCTATTTAGTGGTTAAAACAAATGTCAATATTCTTTTTTGATGGATAGCCTACAAGAATCACTGTCTCTTACTTACTCCCTCACTGACTGACTGATGGGATGCCAAACTGCATAGTGCTAGCTTCCTGTTTCAAGCAGAGGCTATTACTATGAAATTAAGGTACGTCGATTTACTGAGATATTTACTGGGACTTCTTTACAATAAAACTACCCTTAGAATGGGTTGGCAAATGGTTTAAAACTAGTTTATTAATGGTTATTAATTAGGTCATAAACACAATAAAAACACTGAGCACATATAAGCAGTTATAACATATAAAAAGGGCAAAACTGAGCTGTCGTATCTGATGAATATGAATATCTAAAGATGCTGACAGGTTTAGTGGTGACTGATGGAGAAGACAACAAAAGATATATAACCAGCAAGATCTGAAGTTTAACAGTGTAGATGAATGTGGGATCACTATTTAGCAAGCCACAGGTCACTGTTGCCCTTTTTATTTATGCATTATAACTCTTTATGAATTATTTTGAAGTGTAAATACTGATGACCTAACTTTAAACCAGTTATAAACCCTTTATATGAGGGGTCTTCTTGTTAAGTGGTATTATTATTATTAGTAGTAGTAGTAGTGATAATGATCTAAGTGCACCATAGACACTTGCATGACAAATGCCATATAGCCAGTGGCAGGCCAGCAAAACTAGCCTTGCCTAGTCTTGATTTATTTTTTGTTTTTGGTCAAATTCCAATTCTCAGAAGACATTGTTTTTGTTACTGTGCCTTTGAGACGTATATGTAAATGACCTCTGTTCTGATTGGCTGCCCTGTACTGCGGCTCATTTCAAGAGCAAACCAGGCTGAAACATTACTTATAACTGTAGCGTGAAAGGGCAGAGTTACATAGCTGTAGGCCAATAGGCAGATATATGTGTATGTAAAAGCATTGGTTTTTCTAAAAGGCTGTTCGGCTGCTTCATTTCTATATGTGGATTGTATGGACTGAGAAGTGAATGGTACATTTTGAAATAATGATAAACATTCTGCACCGAACTCAAATGCACCCCTTAATATGCTTATCATAACGCCGAGTTCCTATCATATGTGTCTATAAAATGCTGTGTTGAGGTCTGTTGCTGCGCTCCACCACACAGTCACACATTTGATCTTATATCCTGCTCTGAGCTGAGACTACATACAGTCTGAGAGATGAACTGTCAGTCACGTCAGTGCGAGAGGGGAGGAAGAGTGGGCTGGTTTGACAGCTCGTTGCTGGCCTGCCATATTTATTGGAGTTTGAAAAGCACAGCAGGACAGAAACGGGGCGGCTGTCAGCGCCAAACGCCATCTGCGTCCCAGAGCAGGAAGAGAGGGCCGGCCCACCTTGTGCACACTTTAAAGAATTGGTGTTAAGACAGGCCATCTGCCTGGTGCAGCGGCGCCCTGGGACACATTAGTGAGAGGAGTGTCAGGGCCCTCCACGTCGCTAGCATTCCCCCACGTAACATGATCAATGAGGCCCATTAGTGCAGGCCGGACTGGGTCAATGCGAGGGGCTCAGAGTGCCAGCTTTATTACAGCAGATTCATCCTGAGGACACACATAGGGGACGACTTGGTGCCAAAATAATACAGTTTGACAGTTTCAAAATGTGTTATAGGTGAGTTATTTCTGTTTGGTTTACAATGCAATGTTACAAATATTTCAGTCAGATTACATTTGATAGATTAACCAGTGCTTTTAAGTATAATAAATAGGAAAGGAATATTATTTACTCAGTTACATTTATCATTAACAGGTAGTTTTGCACTTAATTCCATTATATTATGTTATTGACAGCATATGTACTGACTTTTGAACTGCAGTTCTGTAAGTATAAGTAATCAGTACTAAAATGTCATGGAAAACCAAATTTTCTTGCCTTTTTTCAAATAAAAATGCAAGCTATGAAAACATTTCAATACACAGTTGTATGCAAATGTCTGGGCCTGGTCAAATAACATGTTCTCTAAGTGAAAATAAGTTAACACATCCTCTACTGAGAACACACCTCTGCACATTTTAATGCACAATTACTATTTGCTGTATTTAACATATTGTGGAAAAAATAAAACACAAAATGTGGCCTGTATGCTGATGGAACGTCAGTGCAAACATTATTAGCATGCTGATATGATAATCTCTTAAAGGGGTCACATCTTACATTTTCTTGCATTTTATTATATTTCCCTAATATCAACACATCTGTGAGGTTTATGTACCTAAATCAGTCATAATTCATTTTCACCAGACCTTTTTCCAACCTCAAGCTAAACACTAATTAGCAACAAAACATGCATATTGAAAAAAGCAGTGCCCAAACTTTTGCATATGGCTGTATTTGCCTGTAAGAACAGAGCTCTTTACATAAATCACTCTTAAAGGCACAGTAACAAAAACAGCCAGTTTGATTCTAAGGGATAAGCAAAGGTTGAAAAATACTTCTGTAAAAATGTATTATGACTAACATAAACCACACATATGAGTATAAGTAGTTTTATGCTGCTATAAAACTATAAGTAGTTTTATGCTGCTATAAAACTTCTGTTCTTCTACTCAAGGTTGTAGTCACTATTTCACAGCCTTGACAATACTTTTATTTGAGTGTGGGTTGAGGCTGTTCTACCACCCCAGCATATTAATCATCTTATAAATATTCAGATTCATTTCTCACATCCTACTGTCTCAGGAACTGGGGTCTTCACTGGCCATTTTACTACTTACTTTACGATTTGGCAGGCACAAAATTAGTGAAAGGTGAGATAATCTGCCAATTTGCTGCTCAAACAAAGGTGCCAAAAAGGGTTCTTGGCACGGTGCCATAAAAGAACCAGTTTTGGTTCCCTAAAAACCTTTTGGTTCTTTAGTAAACTATTTTTTTTTTAAGTTTAAAAAATCTTCATGTAATATAAAAGTTCTAGGAAGAACCCTTAAATTGGTACAGAACCTTTCCTCACATCATGTGAAGATTCCTCATACTATTAAGAAGTTCTTCACACTCACAAATCAACTGTAGTTCTTTTCAGCATGGGGTAGACTGTAGAAATCAAACATCAACATCTTATCATCCCACACTAGGGACAAGGGATGCCTACCAACATTTACTTTATCTATATGAAAAATTTATGATAATATGTTTGTTTTATGTCGTGTGTGTCCTGTATTTTTGTATCTTGATCGTTTTTTGATTCGATTCTGATAAATAAAACCTACTGTTCTTACAGAAAATGAATGATTTCCAGACCAGAGCCTGAAATTTCCTGTAATCAGTCAAATACTTTGACATAACTATTCAGCAAATATCAATAAATGTCCTCCTGATGAAATGACTGACGAATAGAGGAACAAGCGAAGCATATAAATGTGCGGTCGCTCATTCATCCTGTCGTCGGAAGCTTCATTTCCCTGTCAGCTTGGAATTACTTTGATGTTGGCCGTGCGGATCAGGATTTGACTGGCAAACAGACGCCACTGACCCAAAACTGAGCTCCAATCTATCTTGAGAGTTGACGGTCGACTGTGCACTTACAGGTACAGTATCTGCAGTATTTCCTGGGGCAAGTCAAGACATGGCTTATCAACGAGTCATAGTACCGGCTGTGGAGAGGGGTCTTCACTTTGCAATGCACTACATTACATGAGCTCATCAGTGGAGAGGCAGTTAAGTGCTGTGTTCAGTGATTTACTGTAGTTTTATTAGAAACAGTGAAGGAATGCATTACTGTAGTACATTATTTTAATCTTTTTTTAACTAGAAACTAAATATTCTTTGATACAGTTCTCCAATCTGCATGGTCTGATCTTTATTATACTGAGGATCAGGCCAATCTACACATGCAATATGGGTCATGACACTGTAATAAATCTCATAGCTGTCCATCTGATAAATTCCCAAAGAGTCTCCCTCCCATTATCTCATGGATATGAATTGCTCTTATGCTGTGAATAAGCTGAAAAATGTGATACACTGAACGTACTTGATTCAAATGCATACTTACAGACTTCTGGCAGTAATTGTGTTGATCTAATATGTTGTATTCAGTGATACATATTTGAATCAAATAAATCCAATGCTTTCTTTGTTTAGTGTAGTTTCAGTGGATGCCCCTGTGATTTTAACATTTTCACAAGCGTCTTTGTTCAGCCTTACAAAAAAGCCTCTTTTTAGCTGATCACAGATACTTCATGAAGAGAGGAACATATTTGATGTCCCTCAGGGACTGCAAAGGCAGTAAAGGAGGAAATCCTCCTCTCCAGTAAAACTCTCCACTGGGTTATTAGTGCCATTTACTGTTGTCCATCTGGTCTATAAAACCAAACGGGCCAGATGTTTGCGAGATGCCACATTCTTGTGATTCAGACAGAAAAGCCATGAATGGGTGAAATCAGAGAAGTGTTTCTGATGGGCGCAACACACAGAACTGCATGGAATGTGCCTTAACCACTACCTTATGTTTGAGTCAAAGCTGAAAGTGCACGACTTGATCTGCCTTGAAAATCTAATGCTCGGGAGACGACGCTTGGAAAACTGCAAGCTGCATGTATTTTATCCCTTCGCTATTACATTGTAACACCAAGAAAAAGCTTTATGATCACATCCTAATTTGGTGCATTAAAGGAGAACTCCACTGATTCCTGCATAAATAAGTCATCAACATGTGAACAAAGTCATTTAGAGTGGTTTGATGTGAAATGCTCCATTCTAGAGAAACTTAACGAGTCAGAATTGTTCACAGTGGATGTGATGGGAACCAGGCAACTGCTCTAAAATGCCGCAAAAGATTACTTACATAAAGTCACTACTCTGTTGCAACTACATTGCCAGATGCCTGAGACATTGGTGATTGTCTTAGATATGATGTTTTGGCTTAAAATGTAGTTTTAAACTACATTCTTGGAGGAGAAGCACATGAAAGGCAAAATAATATCCAAAGAAAACTTTCTTTTTTTTTTTTTTGGTTTACCACTATTTTACTATTTTCAACATAACAGAAGATGTGATGGTGCATTGGTCATTTTGAATAGTAAAGAAAATGGCTATATTTGTGTTGTAGACATCACAACCCCTGGTCCCTATCACCACTGTAAAGAAATGGAGTTTTCTACCATGAAACTTTTCAAATCAAACCACTCTGAAGGTCTTTGTTTACATCTCCACCGTTGAATTACGCAGACATTCTGAATCTGAATGTCATTGGAATTCCCCTTTAAGTGTTTTCTGATCCTGATAAATGGAGCCCACTGTCAACTACAACAAATAATTGGTTTCCATGTGCATACACTTAGGCGTGGTACATAGACATTGTACAGCAAACAACTGTAACTCTCCTTCCGAAATGCTAGAAGAGTAGAGCAGTAAGCCAAGTGAAGAAATGTGCATGTGTTTCACACCAGTATGAATCAAATGATTATATTGTGCCATCCACTTCACATCTGTCAGTTACTAAAGATGATTTGAGTGAGGTGATGGGGTGTGAAAACTTTATCACAGGAAACAAAAGATAGAGATTTATAGGATGTTAGATTGGAAGAAGGAGCTTGGTCCACCTCCAAACAGTTATTTCATAACTCCATATTCTGAACATGCCCTTAAGCTGTGAATGGTACACAATGCTAAAGCTTTTGACCATGTAAAAGAAAGGTTCCTCACCAGAATGAGCTCGTCTCCCCTCAGCTCTCGAGTCCAGTATGTCTTCGGGCCATTTCCATCCAAAAGGGTCTGCCTACAGGTGATCTTATTCTCCGTCTCCCATGTGGCCAGACTCTGTGAACAACTTTAGGTTAGCAGTGCTGGACAGAAATAATGCTGGGCTGAGCAATGCAATGCTGGACTTAGTATCTAGTGAAATAACATGCTAGGGATTAAACAGCTGGAATGTCTGGTCTCTTTTACAGTTACTTTAAGCCCTTAAATGGTCAGGGCCTACCAGCAGGCCCGAAGTTTTTTTATACACTTCTCAGAGAGTTTGCATTGGAGTCCCTGTAGTTACTGAATAATAAACCTTAGTATGTAATAAACCTGGGATATTACAGGGTTAGATGTAGGGCCCATATCCTGGAAAGCTAAATTGCAATTTTTTAAATAAAAGCAATGTTAAAGGCTTAAAGTTTCAAAGTTTAGCTAACCATTCACCCTCCAGGGCATACAGTTCATACAGTCATATGCAAAAGTTTGAACACCCCAAGTCAAATGACAGATTTTGTTGATTTTTCATGCTTTGCTGAATTGATAATATATTATTTACACAAAACAAACTTAAATATCCAAATTTGAATGCACAATTTATATATTTTTTGCTGAGTTTAACATACTGGGGATACATTTTATGTTTTAGTGTTTTCCAATATGTTAAATTCAGCAAATAAACAGCAGCTGTGCATTTAAATGTAAAAAAGTTTGTTTTCTGTAGAGGATGTATACTTTAAGAACTCACTTAGAAAATCAACTAAAGATGTAATTTGACCTGTGGTGCCCAAACTTTTGCATACGACTATATGGAAACTAAGCAGCAAAAACAGCCAGTTAATTTATTGTGATCTCATGTCATGATCTCAACATGTATCCACCTATTTAGCCTACAGCACTTTAACCCAACCATTCACACTGAAGTTATAAAGAGCCAGTTTCAGCCAGTACTGCTTTTTGAATGAGGCACAATACAGGGCCAATCAAAGCAGAGGTCATTTACATATATCAGTCTTACAGGCACTGCAACAAAACAGCCTGTTTAATTAATGCCTACAGAGAGGCTGGAAAATTGTCATGTAAAAATGAATTATGACTGCCTTTGGTATATAAACCCACACAAATGTCATCAATGGATCTCAGGGGAACAAAATAAAATATAAGAAAAATGAAAGATATGGCCTCTTTAAGAGATCATGATATCAGCATATTAATGATGCTTGCTCAGCACATCAAAGACTTAAAGGCCATTGAAGTGTGATTCATAAGAGCACTGAGGAGAGGGCAGCATCGCAGTTGACCCTGCTTCATCACCACAGAGTGGCTGTGAGTCACTGCCATATTTCACCATCCCATAAAGCTCCGGAGAGGCCCCGAGAGCCCCGCCTTGGGCCTCTGAACTTTCCACAAGCTGTGGACTCCCAAACCCCATGGCAACTGGTCATCTAGTAGTTAAAATCTACAGTGCATTTATTATATTATACAATACTAATAACCTCTTACTACTAAATGTTAGAGTTGTGAAGCAGTGAGTGAAATAAATGCACTTATTACAAAAACACATGCTTATTCAGAGCCATGACTGTTGTTTTTTTATGTTGCCATAAAAAAATCAGCGGTCATAGAGGTTAGCCTGTAAAACTGCCTACCACCAGTCGGACCGCCATATGAAGATTTAGTCTGTGACCACCCTGTGCTTTCACAGCCACCTCCCACAGGTTGAGGGCCTCTGAAGGGGACTTTTTGGCCATAAAGTGACACCAGCAGTAGTCACTTTCTGCTTATTCAGACTCTTCAGGAGTCAGAACTCACATTAAACATCATGAACATTTAATAACTTGCATGAATTCTAGATATAGATCTATATCACAGAATAAACAAAGAGAGAGGATACTGAACCTCTAATGCTTATGGCTATAGCCTCTAATGAACTTTCTGAAAAACTACCCTGGTCCTGATGTTACAAAAAAAAAACAAAAAAAAAAAGAAATTGGCATTTAAAGTTGAATAAATTAGTATACTGAAAAAAGTAATGCACTAAATTTACTAAATTGAAATGTACATGATTTCCACATGAATACAATATATTACATCAACACAGTTAATGACAAAAGTGAGTAAACTAAAAAACAAAATTGTGTTGATGTATATTATTAGATATTTTATTCACAACTACAATCACTTTCATGTTCACATTTTTGCTTGAAACACAGAAAATATTTCATTAGTGTCACAACATATTTTCACATGCAAAATTGTATAATTATGTAACTATAATGAGCTAAAATAATTTATGAAATATATTTTAGGTTGAAGTGTTATTCAAGTCTCACACCTGTGATTTTAGTCTTCAAAAACTTTAAAAGAAGTAACTATTGTTGATCAGTGAATTATGTCATTTTTACTGTATAACTTTGTCCGGCCCACATTCATAAGTCCTTACTGCAACTCTGACCGGATGATCCAAAATAAGGCTTTATCAAAGCTAAACAAACATACTTTCGATATAAATATACATTAGCCATAAAGCACATGGACAAAAGTGTGGGAAACCTCATCTGGGTTCAAATAAAAGCAAAGAAGATCTTATATTTTAATATTTAGTATTTTCTGCATGTCCTTATTGCTTAAAACTACAAATATATCAGAGTTTTTTTGCTAAAGCTAATGTAGCAGGCCATGCTATTTGCCATTTATGCTACAAAATGTCTTTACCATGACGTTTCCTTACTTCAACAGGTCAGAGCAGTAAATGTAAATCAATTTCAGATTATATTTGCTATGCGCAATTTTTTGCTCATTATTTGGACAGAGTCACGGACACATCTTCATATACACATTTGAATAATATAAACTCAATGCATTACTTTTTTGAGTGCATGTTGTTTCTTATTGTACATAATCTGTGTCAGTTTTTGCGAGAAGCTCCTTCAATCTAGTAGATCAAGGGGTGAAGTTGTTCAAGTAAGTCTTGCTAAGTCTGCCTTTGGCCTGTCGGTGTACTGGCTTAGCATCAGACCAAAGGTTTGAGAAGCCAGACAGATTTGCACACTAGTGCTTAGATCTTAGTGTCCTTTCTGAAGTTCACTAGAAGGTCATGGGATGATCACATAAAGTTGTGATCAGAGAAGTAGACTCAGTATCATGGCTTTCAGTTTGAGTCATGTCTTACATCTTACATCAGTGATTGGTCATCATGAATAATCATACTAATTACGCTCAACAAAAGTCCATTCATAGTCATAAGGTATCCCAGTGCTCTACGATTACCTTGCATTTTCGCCCGTCTACTGTCTCCTCATTGAATTCCTGTCCAATCTGAAAGTTGATCTCAGTGGTCCTGACGGTTGTGGAGGTCTTTATGTAGAACTGCTCACCGTTCTGACGGATCTCCACTAGAGGCTTTGAGGCTGCAGCGCAGGCAACTTTTCTCAGCATGGCATTCACCCCTACAGAATATAGAGTACAGAGTAGACCATGAAATCAGCCTAAATTAGATTCCCAGAAAGGCAATAAGATTGTTTTAAATTGATTCCATTCCTTTGCAAATCTCAAAACAAGACTATTTACATTGTAACTAGAGTAAGTAGACTATATTTCAAGGTGGTTTGATCAAATTTTCCAGGAACAGTCATGTTCTTTGTACTGTGTTTCATCTCTTCTTACCATGTTGGCATAATTTCCTCCAAGATGGGTACAATTACATGATTTGTTTTGTCTCTGGCATGATTACTGTCTAGTCAGAGGGCATGGCTGAATAGCATTCGTGTTGCTTTTGTGTAATCGCTGAGGAAGAAAAATGAGAACTATGTGATGTGATTGACTGGCACTCGTTTTTCTCAGCCATAAGTCAGGCTCAGCACTCTTCCGTACACTCCACTGGTATGTACTTTTCTGCATAAAAAGTCATCTGGCCACCACAGAGCAGATCGTTATCAGCAGATGTGGCCAATATGGGGATGCGATGACAAGGTGTTGACTGGAAGGAATGTCTCAGCTCTTGGCTTCGTGTTCTCTTTGCAGTGCAATGGATCGCTACACGGACTGATTATCCACTGGCCTTCAGCACAAAAGGACTGGTATAAACAACTGAGTGAGTAAGTGTCTGGCTTACTTCCTGACCCCAATCATTATGGGTTCTCTCAAAGCTAGGTTCTTTCTTCGAAACCTGCATCCCTCCAAATTCTGGAAAGATCTGAGAGCCATTGTTTAGATCTGTAGTCTTCAATTTCCCAATTTAATTATTAGCTTTAGCCCTTTATTACATGCGTGTGCAGTAAGCATCCGTAGTCATCAACCCAAAAATCAGGATACGATGGTAACATTCTAAAAATTAATCATGCTAAAAGTGTTTTTTTTGGAGTGATGCCATTGAACAGCGGTTCTCAAACTGGTCTTCAGGAACACCCAGACAGTCCACATCCACCCCTGTGTGTTGAGAGCTGGCAAAGAGCAAGGCTTGAGTTACAATGCCATAGAAAAAACAAGTTCCTTTTAAGAACCTTTGCATGGAGCATTCCTCATAGAATCAGTTTTGTAAATGAGATGTGTGAGTTTGAAGTTCAAAGAACCTCCACATACTGTAATGGACCTGTACCAATTAAAGGTGTAGGAACCCTACATCCAAGCCAAGAACCACTGAAAGACCTTTATTTCTAAGAGTAGCCCATTGCTTTCATCATACATAATAAGTTTATCCGCCCGTACCTTGCACAATGCGGACTTCACCATTCCATTCTACAACATAGCGAAGTATACAGAGTTCGTTGCAATGCTTAGAATAATTTTTATTTTAATAAAATAAGCAATTTTAAGTAAAATAAGCAGTAACATTGTATGCTTTAGAGCACATATTTTTTTCTACCTCTAGCCTCCCAAGAACTCTAAAGAACTTTCTACACTGGAAATTTGAATAAGAATGAAACATGCTGCCAAAGAAACAAAGGAGTAGAAAAAATCAGGGCAGCAGGCTGAAAATAATAGTGATTTACTCTTCACACCACTTAATCCATGAATATGCTGCTGAAAAACCAAGAAGGCAGGAGATGTCACAGGCAAGACATAGAGGAAACAAATGACCACATGTGATCACAATGTATTCTTAATGCTCAAAGGCCCCTATGCGCTAGAACAAACGAGCCAAGAACTTACCGAGGGCTTTGAGAAGTTCTTCAAAGTTTTCACTGCTTTTCATCTTCCAGGTCCCTGCAAAGTTCGGCATCTTTATTTTTGCTCAGGTTTAGACTACTGGCCACCCTAAAAATGATGCAACCGTTTAGTCAGAATTCCTTTCTGGATGTTTATCTCTAATCTCAAAGCCTGTCCCTCTTTCCTTCTTATTTCCCTTGCTCCTTATTGTAGCCCTCTCATCCACCGTCTCAGCCGCTCTCTCAGTCTGCTGTGCTCATCTGGACCACTGCTGATAGTAAAGCCTCTGTGACGTGCCTCAGATGTCCCTCCCTCTCTCCTGGACAGATGCACTAGCTCACAGGAGAAGAGTCACAATGCTTTAATACCTCTTGCTTCTCTACCAAGATCTAAGATTCAGTTTGCACTAACTTTATAAGCCAGTTTACCAGGCAAAGATTATATGCATGAGCCTAGACTAAAAAGAATATGAGTAACTTTTGTAATGCAACTTAATGCAATAATAGGTTTATTTAATGTCTGGGTCCTGTATGGAATAATTTTATGAAATTGTTTACAACTGACCAGGAAGCTATGGGGACTTAAAAAAAAGAAAAAAGGAATTTCAGCATTAAAACTTTAAACAGATTTAAAAATTATAGACAAGAACATTTTCATCTAGACAGATAGATATATGGAAGATTGCAGGCTTACAGGATCAAACCCGTACAAGACATACTGTACTCTGCAAAAGTCAGAGATCACCCTTCATTTACTTCATTTCCAATCAAAATGGCCATTAAATACAAATTATTCATTTTTCAGCAGATGTTTCTAAGGAGATTACATGTAAGATAATCAACTTGTGTAAAAAAGGTGAAAGCCAAAAAAAATAAGTGACAAAATAACAGAAGTTTCCAAAATTAGAGTTCAAAAAATTATGATAAGCTGCAGAGAAAATGAGATTCCTAACAACTAAGCAAGATGTGGTAGACCACCGAAACTGTCCCCATCAGATAGACAGTGTAAAGCTTTCATCTTTGAGAGAGAGGAGAAGATCAAGCTCCACTCCTGCTTCAGATCTGAAAGACCTGCTATCCTCTGAGTCTGAGTCTGAAAGGATGTGTAGTTGTCAAGAAGCCCACTGAGACAAGTAAACAGACAATTGCAAATGAAATGTTCTCAGAAAAAAATAACTGACCACTACAGAGCCCTGCTTGTGACATCCTGTTTAAATAAAAATAATGCGTGGCCACAACTTAGTGAGGCGTGGGAACAAGATAATTAAGTCGTGGCCACGACTTAGTAAGGTGTGGAAATGAGATCCTAATGCTTGGCCATGGCTTAGTAAGACGTGGGAACGAGATCCTAATGCGTGGCCATGACTTAGTAAGGCATGACCTCGTTTCCATGCCTTACTAAGTCATTGCCACGACTTCATTATCTCGTTCCCACATCTTAATAAGTCGTGGCCACGCATTAGGATCTCAGTCCCATACATTAATAAGGTGTGGCCACCTTATGAAGGGTGACCTCTGACGTTCCTACAGTACTGTAGATATATTATGAAAGATAAAGCTTACAAAGCGACTTAACACTGTGTGTTAGTGAAAGTGTGCTTTAATGTATGTGAGTATTTACAGATGATATAACTGGAGGAGCCCTTGATGAGATTTTAAAATTAATGCTGGACACAAATATTATTCACATGTAGCGCTGTTCCAGCTGTGATAAAGCAGAATAATAACATTATGTCTGAGAATCCTTCTCTTATTATTAAATATCTCAGGGCATTATGTAAATAAGATTGTGAGTGGAAATAATAAATAAAATAAAATGACTGCATACCATTTTCATTGGTTACTGTTTTCCCTCAAAGCCTAAAGGACTAGTTTTCCAGACATGTATTAACTTTTGGGCTGAATTACAAAATCAGGTTTCATTGGGCCAGGCTTATACAGTGTCTGGAAAACAATCTGAAGTCATCGTGTTGGGAAGTCTCCCTGTGCCATTGTGGACATGTTCTTAATACATTTCCCATGACAAACAATTTATCCTGGTCCTGGGTCCCACCTCCCTAGCACATGGAATGGCCCAGGAGAAAGAAGAAGAAACAGAGGGGGAGAGAGAGAGAGAGAAATTGAGGCCCACCCTCTTCTCCTGTCTGATTCCTTTTCTGACGGCACTTCATTTATCTCCTTGACAAAGTGCCTTCTGGACAGCGGTTGATAATTAATGTAGAGGGAGGCCAGAGAGCACTTTGTCTTTCCCCCAGGAAGCGTCCGGGAAAAGGAAAGCACCCATCCACTCCCCAACGCACCCTTGTCAGACGCTGTTTGCCCCATCAATCAATGGGTTTGATTCGGGCCTTCAGTTGCTTCTCGTCTGTGCGTTTTCTCCCTTGTCTTTTAAAGAATGGAGTGAATGTAGTATGATTGTGGTCTACAGAGTGACTGCTTTTGCATATTTAGCATGGAGAAGAGTTTCTGTTAAACATTTTGGTTAACAGGTAGAGAAATATAGGTTAGAACTCACAATAAACATTTGAAGTTTTATTTTCTTGAATACATTTCAGATATTTTAATAGCTGAACTTATTAACTGGTTGTGCCACTATGAGCAGCAACATTTGGAGCCAAACACTTTCTTTTACTGGAGATCAGTTCTTCACATGCTGTAGAGAAATTTTGGCCCACTTTTCTTTGTAAAATTGCTTAATTCAGCCACACTGGAGGGCCTTTGAGAGTGAACTGCCCATTAAAGTTCCTGCCACAGCATCTCAAAGGTGTTCAAGTTAGCACTTTTTACTCGGCCTCTTCAAAACCTTCATTTTGTTAAATTTGAGCCACTGAGAAGAGGACTCGCCCTTGTGCTTCGGATCGTTGTCTTGCTCTACAATCCAATTGCGCTGGAGCTTTAGATCACTGACTAATAGCCACAGATTCTCCTACAACATTTTCTGGTAGAGAGCAAAATTAATGGTTTTGTAAATTATTGAAAGTCACTCAGGCCTTGAAGCAGCAAAGCATCCCCACACAGCACACTACCACCACCATGTTTGGCTGTTGACCCTACGTTCTCACTGCGAAATGCTGTTAGCTTTAGCCCAGATGTAATGGGAGTCCTGTGTTCCCATCCCAATATGTCATTATTCGAAAAGTTGTGGGGTCATCAAGGTGTTTTTTGGCAAAAGTTCTTTTTGTTCCTCTTGGTTAGCAGCATCTTCACTTTGCAACTCTCCCATGGATCCCATTTTTGCTCAGTCTCTTTCTAATGGTGGAATCATAAATGTTGACCTTATCTGAGGCAAGTGAGGCCTGTAGTTCCTTCGAGGTTCGTCTTCTTAAAAAATGTACCATTCTTCCATGCTTTCTTCATTTGGAGATAATGGCTCTCACTGTCATTCGCTTTAGAAGTGGCTTTGTAACCCTTTCCAGACGTATATATTTCAATAACTTTCTTTTTAATCTCTTCCAGAATTTCTTTCAATTGTGCATAGTGTGCTGCTTTTAGTCTACTTCACATGACTGAAAAAAGTGATATACATGATATAAAAATTTCCGGCCTGGCAGTAACCAAAAAAACGAAATGATCATTTAAAAACTGTATTTCATGTTTACTCAGGTTGTCTTTGTCTTATATATGATATTTGTTTGAAGATCTGAAACAAATGTCTCAAATATGCAAAAATCAAAGAAATCAGGTGGGGGCAAATATTTTTTCAAGGCACTGTACATTATGTGTTTAATCATTCTCATTTTTAGGTTTATTCAGAAACACATGGCATTTCTAAATAGTGTATGTACTCACAGTAAGAACACAATGTGTCTAAACGCAATTTCTGAAAGCTTTTAGTCATATCTGACAGGTCTCAGCTGGAACTTACATACGAAATCTTCAGATTAAATCACAAGCCAGTCATCGACAAAGGCTACACTAATGGTGGGCATCCATCACATGTGAGTCACCAAAGAAAGATGTGACCTTCTGTGTCAAAACCTTATCTCCTAATATCACACTTATTTAGCTCCCATGCTCTTTGGGGCATCTGTTATTGCCATTGTCCTTATTTAGTTGTTCTCTGTGTTCTCTGCTGTATGCTGGACTCCCAGGGGGGAGAGCCCGAGGCCTGGGCCTTTCATGGCACAGATGCCCTGATACAGATTGATTTGGTGGAGAGGAGTATCTTAAAGCTTGATCATTAGTCTGTGCTGACCTTAGGCTGATTACCAAATGAGACATCAGGCCGCTGTGCAATCCTTTACAGTACCAATATATCCTACACTGTAAATCCAAATGTTCAGGTTTTTTGTAACACTTTTTAAACGCATCAGTGTTTAGTTGAGCTGTTCACCTATTTGAGAAGTTAGACAGCAACAATGTTTAAAATCTAAACACCACTGATTATCATATCACAAAATACCAAATACCAAATACCAAAATTATCATGTCACCAAACACCAGTGGGTATGAGAAATATCAATCAACTGACTAATATAATATTAACCAATTAGTGCTGGGCAATCTTGCAAAAATTAAATATTACAGTATTTTCTGGATGTATCAATGTATCGGATAATATTTAACTTAGGAAGCATTAATAAAGTTAGTTTTGATTAGACTGTTTTGTTCTGCTTTCTTCACTTGAAATGACACGAAAAGGAAATTTATACAGCATTGTAAAATTTAACCAGAGAGAAAGGATATTTACAGAAGGGAAACCTAGTATTAATGTATTAATAAAATCATTTTTATGTGTTTGAACTGTTCTTATGTACAAATCTCAATGACACTACACTTAACTGTCAGCTTCTGGATACCATGTGTAATAATAAGAATAAATAAAATTCAAAAATAAGCTAAAACTTAGCAACAGTCACGCTGCTATTATATGGTTGATATAATATTTATCAAATATATCGATAGAATATAACTAAAAGTGAAAAGCAATATCATGGTATGTCAATATCACTAGAATAGACAATACATATATTGCCCAGCACCGTAACCAGTATCATGATGTTTCACCTCCCCCTCCCAACACCCCCCAACTATCATTGAGAGAAAACACTCAGCTAGCTCTGAGACCCTCCCTGATACCATGTTGCATTTGGAAATACATCAAGGTACAGAAGGAACTGTGTTATGGTTTTTAATACTTGTTGATTTTAACATTGGACTTTTATCTTATCAACCAGCTTTTCTCTGTTTGTCCTCATATAGGGAAAAAACTCAGCTGAACCCCGTGTCTCATTTAAAACGTGACAGAAAAGTATTTAAAACGAAACACCTAGATTTAAAGTTTATATTAAAATGTATTTACAATTACAAAGCAATTCAACAAATCACTTTAACAGTTCAGGCAGAATCTTCATGGTTTATGTTGTTTGGGCCACAACAGCAAAATAACTTACTGCTCCAATTTACTTCCCCCAAAAGTAGCATATTATTCATATATTACTATATTAAGTGCGCATTATGTTCTAAATTTATATTCAAAACAACAGAACAGAGAATAGAGAAATGATCATATTCTTTCTGCATTAGTGCATCAGCACTTTCTTCGCCTGCAGTTTACTGACAAAGCATTTTGTCACCAGCCTTTCATTCAGACTATGAAATAACGGTCTGCAAATATCTTAACACCTCTTTAGCTGCATAAGTGTTCTTCCGTCTTCATCTCAGCTGGAACAACACATACATGTATGTTTTTAAAATGACTTAAAATGATTATTTATCTCTAATTACATTGTATAAATATATTTATAATCAAGCACAAATTGGTGAACCCACACACTGGACTGCACTGACAAGGATTAAATTAAGCAAATTTTAGAGCTAATCACGGATTAATGAGTTTATGTTGTGTTGCACTAACATTTTTAAACACACTGAATTTGCCATTTTGGAAATTTAAACGACCACAGCTGCAGGTTTAAATTATTAAAAGTTCATCTAAAATTTGTTCCCTGTAAAAGAAAAATAGAATGCAAAATGATGGTTTAAATGTAATTCTGATTATTATTAAACTGGTTTGAAGTTCAGTATAACAGGATTAATATAGTCATATGCTAATGTTTGATTTTCTAAGTGAAAAAAAAAAAACACACCCTCTACAGAGAACAAACTCAAATATGCCATTCTTCTGCAAATTTTAGTGCACAATTTCTACTTAACACATTTTAACATCAAAAATGTGCCATAACTTATTCCCAGGCCACAGTTTATGTCTTATTTTTTTCGAAGTGTTAAATTTGGCAAATAAACAGTAATTGTTCTTTACAATGAACTGTGTTCTCTATAGAGGACATGTTAACTTATTTTCACTTAGAAAATCACCAAAGCGTGTCATTTGACCAGGGGTGCCTAAACTTTTGCATGTAGATAGACTTTGATTCCACCCAAAGTCCTTGTTCTCAGTCCATGTTGACGATATTGTTGTTTAGATCTGATGCAAGTTTTATAAATTCTATAAATTTTCCTTTTTTCCATTGCTAAAATCTTTGGGGTGCTCCTTTTCTGCTGCAGCGGTAACCCTGCACTTTCCTCTGGGATTATTAACGTTTCTATCTATATGATATAATGTGAGGTGCCACAAAGCACATTTCCCACCAGGCATTAGAGCAGCAAGGGACTGGCTCTGAGAGCTTAGGCATTAAATCAGAGGAAAGTCCATTCAGCTGAGACAATTTCATAAAACAGCACCACAGGAGTCTGTGCAGTTGCTGAGAGGCTAAACCTGCACTTCACTGCCCGTGTGCTCTTTGTGGCTTTGAGCTTGACTGTGTGTGCTTTAGGGAGAAAGAATGACCTCATCAGATGTTGAGAGAATGGATTTGCTTTGACAAAGTGTTTGTATTTGTGTACGCATTCCTGAGATGAAACGCCTCATATTCCACAGCTTTAACTACTGTTTTGTTTTAGGGAAAGCAGGCTGTGCACACAAGATCAAAACAGTAATTTTAAATGAAGACCCAGTGAAAAGAAAATTAAACTGTGTACTGATGTTCTATTAGTGCTGCAGTAGCATAGATTGATGTTATTACTCTTTAAATGGAGTTGTATTACAGGGGAAATCCACTAATTTCAATAAAATTGTTAACATGTAAACAACAAATTCCATGGTGGTTTGTTGTGACATGCTCCTTTCTAGGGAAACTAATCAAATCAAGAAATGTTCACAGGTGATGAGAGAAACCAGATGTCTGAAGCGTTTAATGTCTTTCAAAGCTACCTAATAGAAAGTTATTGCACGAAATAGTTACAAATACTGTATATCCCCTGATATCTGACACATTGAGTTAGTTCTGCAATAAGGTTGTGGCCTTACATATATCTATTTATCTATCTATCTATCTATCTGTGCGTGTGTATGTGTGTGTGTATATATATATATATATACCCACACACATACACACACACACATCAGGCATAACATTATGACCACCTCCTTGTTTCTACGCTCCATTGTCCACTCAGACCAGCGCAACACACACTAACACACCACCACCACATCAGTGTTACCGCAGTGCTGAGAATGATCCACCACCCAAATAGTACCTGCTCTGTGAGGGTCCATGGGGGTCCTGACCAGTGAAGAACAGGGTAAAATGGGACTACAGTTTGTAATTGTAGAACTACAAAGTGCACCTATATAGTAAGTGGAGCTGATAAAATGAACAATGAGCATAGAAACAAGGAGGTGGTCATAATGTTATGCCTGATCAGTGTGTGTATGTGTGTATATATATATATATATATAATTTTTTTTAATCCATTTAGGCAGAGAGGTGCACAAGCAATAATCCGCCGGTTATATATGACGGTTGGTAAATTAGGCCCATTACATACAAAAACCCAAGACATATGCAGGTTTTAGACAGAATAAAATATTATATAACATTTGTGTTGGGAACACCTTAGTGTTCCTATTACTGCCACTGAGTCAGCAAGGTACATTATTTCACATCAAATCACTCTGAATGTGTTTACATCTCAACAACTTGCTTTATGCAGAAATCTTGAAAAATTGGTGGAATTCCCCTTTAACTCCGCTTACAACTCCAGTGTGCAGTCCATCTGCACTCTAGTGGCCATATGAAGTAGTGCTACAACAGTCTGAATCTCTAATCTCTACTCATGTGCCCTTGAGAAACTGAACATTACATAGATACTCAGGAATGACTGAAGGAGGTGCACTGCATGTTCTGGTTAGAAGAAAGGACGTCCATATGAGTCACACTGTTAATAACCGTTATACCGTTAAACTGTTTCTTTAAGCTCAAGGACTGAGACATTTTCAAAGGTGATGTACATTTAGTGCATTCAGATACAATCACAATCCCACACGTTTCCATTTACTCAACCTGGCAACATTGCATATTTTCCTCACACATCCTGTGCAACATGTACGCTTTCGCTGATCACATGATCATTTTCCACTGAGCTTTGGCAACTTAATCCCCATCAGAGCAGGAGAGAACAAAATGAGGCTTAAATGAAATGAAATGAAAGACACTGTTCACACATTTGGAAATGACACTTACAGAAGAATCTCAAGGAGCAAATTATCCAGTGCACCACAGAACGCAAAGTGGCAGAAACAGGTAGCAGGTACCGTTAGCAATAATCTTAAAATGAAATTACATACAACCACACACACAAACACAAACACACTGATCAGCCACAACATTAGAACCACCTCCTTGTTCCTACTGACTTTTTTTTTTTTAACTAGCTTTCACCGTTATTCAATGAACAGGACCCCCACAGGTCCACCACACACCATGTATTATTTGGGTGGTGGATTCTTCTCAGTACTGACGTGGAGGTGGTGTGTTAGTGTGTGTTGCGCTGGTATGAGTGGATCAGACACAGCAGTGCTGCTGGAGTTTTTAAACACCTCAGTGTCACTGCTGGACTGAGAATAGTCAAAAACATCCAGCCAACAGCGTCCTGTAGGCAGCATCCTGTGACCACTGATGAAGGACTAGGGGAACACAAACTGTGCAGCAACTTAAAAGTTAAAGTTCCTAACTCCACAGGGTGGACCAACAAGATAGCTGTGTCTGACATAGTGGACAGTGAGTGGACACAGTGTTTAAAAACTCCAGTAGCACTGGTGTGTCTGATCCACTCGTACCAGCGCAACACAAACTAACACACCACCACCACGTCAGTGTCACTGCAGTGCTGCGAAATAATACCTGCTCTGTGGTGGTCCTGTGGAGGCTCTGATCATTAAAGAACACGGCAAAAGGGGGCTAACAAAGTATGCAGAGAAACAGATGTGCTACAGTCTGTAATTGTAGAAGTACTAAGTGCCCCTATATGGTAACTGGAGCTGATAAAACAGACAATAAGTGTACAAAAACAACGAGTGTACAAGGAGGTGGTTTTGATGTTACAGCTGATTGCTGTATATTATATTTGCCGCCCCAATGAAACCAAGAAAATGATTCAGCATTTGAAAAAACACCTGAAGTACTACCTAGACGGTAACAAAAATAAATTAAAAGTCTTAAAATACCAGTAAAATTAACATTTTCCCTCTTTTCTGATTAAATACTTTGCGAGTTCCTCACAAACCTGAGCAGCATTTCCCCACATAAAACCAATACAGTATTCCATTATTGCGATATCAGATTAATCCATAAAATATACCCTACAAATCAAATATAAAATACCTCCAAGACACAAAAAACATGCCAAAAGGCAGCAAGGTTGAAAGGCAAAATCTGAAACGGATGAGATGCACAAAGGGAGTCACTGAGGAGAGACACACAACTGCTCTACCAGTGCCTGGAATCCACAAGCTCTGGACGAAGGCTCAGTTTTTTTAGGGTTTCATAACCAACGACCATGACTATTGCTGTGGGAGTGGAGGATATGATGCGAGCAGAGAGGCCCTTGGTCATCCCCCAGAATCCTTCTTCTCTGATCAGCTGCTTGAAAGTTTCAATGACTGAAGTCCTGCCTTCGACCTGTTGAAGATACATAGTCTGAATGAAATCCTGCAAATGCTTCGGTGTCAAAGTTATTGGCAAAACTTGCACTATATGGCAAAAAGTTTGTAGACACCCCCTCTTGATTTCTAATGAAATTAAGACTATTAATAGGTAACAGACAAATATTTGGACAAAGCTGTCTATAAATATTTGGACATAGAGTACATTCTGTAATTGGACTATGACCAGCTCTTTCAGCTCTATTTTCCAGCACACAGGATATGAAATGCACAACAATAGACAATTCTGTAATTCTGTCACTGTATAATGAAATACGAGTCACTGCATAATGAAATAAAGACATTACTGCAAGGAAATTACCTGAACCCTCGCTCTAACCACATCCATTGGATTGGTGACAGTGGAGGCAGTGGCAGCTGCCAGAGGTCCAGCCATGGCTTGGAGTATTAAATGTGGGCAGTCACTCGGTGCCATTTTGGACAGCTGTTCTGTGGAGAAAAGGAAAAAGATACATTATAAGTGTTTGAGGACAAGCTGAATCTTCTTAGGGACAAAGCTTCTGTGGATTACTGTTTTCATATACACAACTAAAGCAGTTCACTCAGCTAGTCCGTTTTTGTATTATTAAAAAAGACTTTGGCTACATATTCAGAAATGCTGTCACATGTAAAAGATCATTCAGTAACAAAATTACTTAATAAAAGAGAAAAGACAAAGAAAAAAAAAAGAAAAAATTAATGTTTTTTGCAAAAAGCATATTAACCATTCAGAGCAGTTCTTACCTGCATAAAAGTGGTAAAAAGGCCACCAGACTGCACTGTTGGGTATGTATGTGAGAAGAGACGCCACATATCCTCGGTAAAACCCACGGAACCCGTCTGCCGCAAAAATCTGAGCTATAATGTCTCTGGTCTGACCAAAAGTGACTGTGTGCTTTGCTCCCGATGATGCTTTGGGTTTGACCTTGAAGCGTGTTAGATGTTCCCCTTGGCCCTGCATCATGAGCTGCTGCGAGATCACATCTATGGGCACAGTGATGCTCTGGGCCACTAGTGACGCCGACCCTCCTGCTACCAGTGACTTAAGTGTGTTATCCTTAGAGTAGTTGGAGACATACTTCCTCACCAGTTCATATGTAGTGATGTATGCCTGGCCAGATATGAGAGTGAATGTGTTGACCATGAAACCCCTGTAAAGGCCCCTCACACCCTCAGCTCGCAGGATCTTCCGGAAGGCGTCATAGGTCCCAGTATAGAGAGATTTCCCTTTCTGTACCTGCAGCCTGGTGCGGATGAGCATGGCTGGATAGACAGTGGCACGAATGGTCATGGTCATGAACACTCCAAAAGAGTAGAACTTGCGCTTGTCCAGGTCCTCCCATTCTATGATCTGGATGTTGCGTTTCTGCTGCATGGTTCCTGCCTGAAGCACCCAGCATCAGCCCCAGGCTTCTATGCTAGAAAACAGTCATTTGGAAGTCATTACAGTTATGTTTTTTGAACACTTACGATGGCCCTTATGTTTACTGTAACTTATGTCTCTGAGGTCTAGTGGGCAGTAGTTCGACATTAACATAGGATAACACAGTGGTGGTGATAGGAACCAGACATCTGAAGCGTTTTAATGCCACTAAAGCCACCACACAGAAAGTTATTACATTATATGGCTATGAAGATGCTGACTGATGTCTGAGACACTGTTTTACTAAGGTTTTATGGTAAAGATTTGGCCTAAAACATAACTATATTTTTAAAAGCCCTTCATGGCAGAGGGGTACATTCAGGGCCCTGTGAGGCAAAATAGCCCCCAAAGAAAACTTGTTTTTCCATATTTATCACTTATGTTTGCATTATCAACACCACACTTAAATATATAAGAAAAAACATGTAGGTTGGTTTGGGTAGTAAATAAAATAGCAGTTTTTGCGTTGTGTACATGGTGACCCTTGGTTCGTTTCACCACCACTATAATGAAATATAAGTTGGATAAATTCTCTAAAATGAAATCATTTCACATCAAACTACTCTGAATGACTTTGTTTACATCTCAATGACTGAATTACAAAGAAATTCCCATGGTTTAATTCAGTGGTTTAAAGCTAAAACGTTTGATTTCTCTCGACCCGTTTAGCATTATGTTTCCATTAGGCTAACGTTACCTGGCTAACCTCCTCAACTGACGTTACCAGTAAACGAGAGTTAGCCAGTTAGCTAGCTATGCTAGGAAATATCGGAAAAAAGCTAACACAAAACAAACAGCACCAAGCAAAACTATTTGTAACGTTAAAGTAAAGCAACCCACGATCCATATTCACTTCTAATTTCAGTGCTGGCTGGTCTGTGGGGTCTGTCTACGTTGGCTAGCTAGCTAACATTTAGTTAGCACGGCTAGTTTTTAAGGAAGCTGAATTCAGCCTCTCATTCGACAGCTTCTTGCTCTAATTTTTCCGTTCCACCTTAAATGGTGCAGCAGCGGTTACATTCTGGCGTCTGAGGCGAAGGTTGCGAAGAAGAGGCGGACTTCAGCTTCCTTAGTTTGTATGGGGAAGAGAAACGTCAGATAGCCTGTACACTGTATCACTGTAACAAGCTGTACAAACACGAACCGAGAGAAACCTTACCGCGCAGCAAAACACACGCTTTAATTCAGTTTCATCGCAGAACTGTGCCTTTCCATTCCAGGTCATGTAATTATTTAGAGGGGGTCATCTGCGAACATGTTCTCCTTTACCGGCTAGCAGCATAATGTCATACCAAACCCAGCGACCAATGGCTTCTTCTTCTCCTTCTTCAGGTTAGGCGCCTCGTATCCAGACCTGTATTGGCGCCCTCTTTTTCCTCTCGCCAGGGGCGTAGCTAGAGCTTATGCAACGGGGTGGTCAGGTAAGACCCAGGGATTTTGTTGGGGCGGCACACTGCAATTTGTTTTATATGTTACTGTATTAGAATGACATTTAAATAGATGCGTTGGTTTCTTTACATAACTAAATCTGTCCATCATTTCCACATGAAAAAAATTGTATATTACGGAGCCCTGTTGGTGACATCCTGTATAATTAAAAATAATGCATGACCGCTCCTCATTAATGCGTGGGAACGAGATCCTAATGTGTGGCCGCGACTTAGTAAGACGTGGGAACGAGATAGTTAAGTCCTGGCCACGACTTAGTAAGGCGTGGGAACGAGATCATGCCTTATTGAGCTGTGGTCAAGGCTTAATTATCTCATTCCCACGCCTTACTAAGTCATGGCCATACATTAGAATCTCGTTCCCACACCTTACTAAGTCATGGTCACACGTTAGAATCTCGTTCCCACACCCTACGAAGTCATGGCCATGCATTATTTTTATTTATTCTTATGTTTTTACATCAATACAATTATGGCCATAAGTAAACTGAAGACAAAACTGTGCTGCTGCTGACATCCCGTATAAATAAAAGTAATGCTTGGCTATGACTTAATAAGGCATGGTAACAAGATAATCAAGTTATGGCCACGACTTAGCAAGGTGTGCGAATGAGATCCAAATTTATGGCCTTGACCTAGTAAGGCATGGGAATGAGATCATGCCTTATTAAGCTGTGGTCAAGGCTTAATTATCTCATTCTCACACCTTACTACGTCATAGCCACGCATTAGGATCTCATTCCCATGCCCTACTAAGTCGTGACCATGACTTAATTATCGCGTTCCCACACCTTAGTGAGTTGTGGCCGCACATTATTTTAATTTATACAGAATTCACGAGCATGGCTCTGTAAAACCATGTATTTCAAAGAAGTAAATTAAATGCATCAATTTTCACAATGCAGAAAAAGAAATGAGTTAGCATGACAAATGATTATAGCCGACTAATTTTCGATACTTAACGCATCTCATCATTGCACAGCCTCCTTCATAATGTCACAGAGCAGCACTGCTGAAGGGAGCCAACACACATTCACTCGCCTGTTTCCTCAACAAATTAGTCTGTCACAGCAAGATATGCTAATTATTAAATGCAGCATCATCAGATTCTTGTAACTGACTGGTAACTCTGATGGCAAATTTTCACCATACAGCATGATAGATGCTTTATTAATGATAGCTGATTGATGGCTGACTGTCTCACTTTCTATAACTGAAGATGGCCACCGCTGCCCCTTGGGTACACCTCTGCTTCTCGCATTCACGCCCAGTGTCTTTTAAAATGGTCAGTACTGTCTCCCTTCAGGTAACATCAAGAGGAGTATCAAAGCTGTTTATATTATGTTCTCTACTCTGATTTTTCCTTTCCTTCCTCTGTGTTTATATTGCAATAAAATTTTGTTATAATTGAGTAGTTTCATTTCAAAATGCTGCACATTCATTTGTAACTATTTTGGTGTTCTAGTAAAGGTGCTATTATTCATTATATAGTATTGATATTCCTTGTGTGTGTAAAGCCCATTTCCAACAACATACATTCCTGCTGAGAAAAAAGACCACTGGAACCATTAGGATTAAAAAACTGATGGTTTTGCTTTCTACTGTAAATTAGCTCAATGGTGAACAGAGACCACTAGTTTCCTGTAGGACACCTTTAGATCCCTTTAGGAAACCATCAAATGCATCTTGAATTAGTCCAAGGACACCTTTGCCTTATGCCTTTAGAATCCTTTGCACTATGATATTAAGCCATCAGGAAAACACTAAATGTCATTACTGACTATTAGACTCTACCAGGAATCAATGGAACATTTTTTATGATTTCTATTATGTTTTTTTCAGCAGGGATCATAGTGGAGGAAATATTCGTCTGGAATATCAGAATGCAAGAGACCTACAGCCCTGGGCTTAGTTTCCCAAAAGCATCATAGCACACAGATGATTGTTAAATGGTAGAGCGAGCATCACAATGAACACTTTCTCTGCCAGTCAGGATGATCTTAACATTCAGATGCTTTTGGGAAATGTAGGTCATGGGCCCTGATGTACCACATGAGTTCAGGAAGAATATCAAGCAGACAATCAGAGAGTATTTAACAAGCCAATCAGAATGCAGTGTTCGGCAGCCAATCAGAATATAGGAGTCTGCTTGTCAATCAGAGAGCTGGATTCAACCAGCCAATCATAAAGCTGGATTCAAGTTGTAAATCAGATGGTAGAATTCCAGTGGCCAAAGAGATTGCAGGATTCATTTAGCCAATCAGATAGTGGAATCCCAGAAGCCAATCAAATGGTAGAATTCCTCTTGCCAATCAAAGAGGACCAGCCAATCCAAATGCACAATTTTGGCAGGCAATCAGATTGAGGAGTTCAACTGGCTGATCATACTGCAGGATTCAGTTAGCCAATCAGAGAGCTTTGTTCAGCTAGCCAATCAGTTCATATGATTCAGTTAGACTCCTGGGACAGAGCTGATTCTGCTACTCCTGGCTTCAATTCCTCTCCTCATCACTGGGAGAACTGATGCATGTATGTTCTACCTGATCAAAGTCACTGTGGTGCTAAACATTTAAGAACATTTGGATATGTACCTTCCGCAGTCCTCCATATACTTGCAAACATTATATTTTGGGGGATTGGACATCATCCCTGGCTGTCATGCTCTAGCACAACAGCAGATGGAGCTGCTCTGTCAAACATGATTTAACTGGCAGTAGATACAGAGCTCCTATTTTGACTTTATTAACTTGCTGTCTTCAAGCTCTCCTCAGAAGCTCCTTTTTATGAGTTTGGAGGTCGTAAATGTGTTCAGTATGTGGTTTTGGGCAAACTATTTTGTTCCAACAAACACACTCTATTTTTCTGTTATTAATAAGAGGATTATTTTGTATTACTGCAATAAAATGAAGAGCAGAGAATGTTTATTAGGTAGCACGAATAAGAGGAATCCTAATTAACAGATGAGTCCAATTCATGATCGCTACATTAGGTTCCCCAAATTATATATTACCCTGAGTGGCCTAAGCAAACAGACCTCCAGCACTGTTACTGGTTTACTGCTTTTTTTCAGTCAGGTATACCAAATACATTGAAAAAATGCATTAAATTACAGATCTGCTGCATAATTTGCTTAGTCTTTTCACTAAACATTTTATGGCCTGCATCACTAAGGCAAAGCCTGGATAGCATTAGTTCATTTTGGAGGACTTAAAAGGTGAATTCCACTGTTGGTGTGAGTGCCCTAAAGTAAAATAGAGGTCATGATGTCTACAATGTAAAGATAACCAGTTTTGTTTATTATCCAAACAACAAATGATGCTACACATACACTGTGAGGTTGTTTTTTTTATATCTGATGTCAAACGGATACAAAAATGGCGCTAAATTTCTAAAAATATATTTTTTTGAGGAGCCATTTTCTTTAACACCCTTTTATGTATTTCATGGAAGTAACTAAAGGATACAAGATTCTACAGAAATGTATACTGTAGGCAAAAACCCAATCGTTTAACAGTCGCTCAGGTTTCAGGCAACACATTGTAAAATAACTTTCTGTGAGGTAGCCTTTAAAGGCTTTGGACCCCAGGTTCCTAGCACTGCCATTGTGTGTTATTCTGACTTTCTATGCTGAAATTGAAAAAAATAGGTGGAATTCCCCTTTAAGGTCATTATAAGGAGACAGTCCTCTAATCCCCAAATAGACCATTTGACAAGGCTACATTTGCAGCATAAACCATTTGGCATGGCTAAATTTGAAATGGAGTGATAGCAGATACTCAGATTAAAGTCAGCTGTGACTGACTGTAAAACCACACATGAAGCTTTTTTTCTGCTGAACTGACCCTCCTCTGATATACTGCCACTCCATGTTCACTTAAACTGTTATTAGCCAAGAATCTGACACTAAAGAGCAAAGTTTCTGTAATCTGTATGTCAAACTGTTTGAAGCCTCTGTATTCTTGAGTGTTTTTTTTTTTCTTTTGGCAAGAAAAGTTTTAGTACTCTATTCTATTCTTTTTTCTATTCTATGTTCCCCAATTATTCTATTTTCTTTTCTATTTTCTCTAATGTCTGTAGATACTTTTTTCTCATTCAGGTCAAATAAAGAAAGAAAGTAGGGACATCTTTACCAATAAGCAATAAATAATAGCCACACAATGATCTATGATGTTTGTCCATGTCATTTTCTGCCTTTTAACCATGCTGTTTATTTATGCAATGAGAAGTAGAGAATTTTAGAATTTAATTTCCTTTCCATTTTATTGAAACTGTTTTCCCATGACTTGAATGAATCTTCAGTAGTCATTTTCTGTATGCTGTCTCCAGATAAAGCTTAAAGGGAAGATCCACTGCTTTTTCAAAGTTCTGTATAATTAAATGATTTACATATAAATAATGTCATTCAGAGTGGTTTGATGTGAAAAGCTCTGTTGTAGGGAAACTCAGAATTGTTCACAATGGTAGTGATAGGAACCAGACATCTGAAGTCCTTAATACCTCTAAAAGCTACTTTACAGAATGCTTTTACATGAAACAGTAACAAAGTTGTCGGCTGATGTCTGAGACACTGTTTTATAGCAGGTTTGAGAAGCTTTCATTGTTTTCTTTGCCGTGTATTATAAGGCCAAATATTCTCTGAAGAATTTGATTCATCACTATTTTACCATTATCACCATTATAAAAACTCAGAA